ATGAAGGCTAAATTATGTGCGGGTGCAGTCAACAGGTGTGTCCCGACAGGTTAACCATGTGTAGTGGCCCTATTGACGTCGGAGACTGTTCACTTGAGGCAACACGTATTTATTACAGACGCTTCAATTACAGTGGCGAATCTGATACTTGAAGAGGTAACGGCCTCTTCACCCGTACTTCTATAGAGGGAACGGTTCCCCGAGCTTTAGCCCACGCTAGCTCCCTGGTTCCCTCTATCCTGGTCCTCTCTCAGGAGGCTATCTGACCTGGCCCAGCTTCGGCGCAGGTCCCGATCACCAGCCACACGAGTCGGGCCCTCAGAAGGACATCGGGCCTCGCGGCTCTGGTGTCGCACCCTGGCTTGCTTTGCCCGGCCCTCAAAAGGGCAGCGAGTTGAAGGAGTTCCATGGTCTGGCGAGTCGATCTTCATTCTTCACTGACTCTTCATCTTGACTGAGTCGAACTAGCTCTCAGCTCCCCGGGTCCCACCTTTTATACTGTCCCTCACTGAGGGGTGGGGCTGGGAGGGATCACAGCGTCCCCCACAGCCCCCCAGGGTGGTGGCCGTAGCGGACGTGTAATGTGGCCACCGTTATACAACCGCGTGTCACCCTCCCGTAACACCTCTATACATGTACAGCGATGGAAAAAAGTATTTGATCCCCTGCTGATTTTGTACGTTTGCCCACTGACAAAAAAAATGATCAGTCTATAATTTTAATGGTAGGTTTATTTGAACAGTGAGAGACAGAATAACAACAAAAAAATCCAGAAAAACGCATGTCAAAAATGTTATAAATTGATTTGCATTTTAATGAGGGAAATAAGTATTTGACCCCTCTGCAAAAAACATGACTTGGTACTTGGTGGCAAACCCCTTGTTGGCAATCACAGAGGTCAGACGTTTCTTGTAGTTGGCCACCAGGTTTGCACATATCTCAGGAGGGATTTTGTCCCACTCCTCTTTGCAGATCTTCTCCAAGTCATTAAGATTTCGAGGCTGACGTTTGGCAACTCGAACCTTCAGCTCCGTCCACAGATTTTCTATGCGATTAAGGTCTGGAGACTGGCTAGGCCACTCCAGGACCTTAATGTGCTTCTTCTTGAGCCACTCCTTTGTTGCCTTGGCCGTGTGTTTTGGGTCATTGTCATGCTGGAATACCCATCCACGACCCATTTTCAATGCCCTGGCTGAGGGAAGGAGGTTCTCACCCAAGATTTGACGGTACATTGCCCTGTCCATCGTCCCTTTGATGCGGTGAAGTTGTCCTGTTCCCTTAGCAGAAAAACACCCCCAAAGCATAATGTTTCCCCCTCCCAGACTAAATATTTTCCGAAGTTCAGCCCCGGGCAGCTCCGATTGAACTTAAGCTTTGCCCCCCAGGCATTAGGGGGCAGTGTAGGCCTGGATCACATTGATTATATTGGTAAAAAGACAAAAATAAAAATTGGTTTTCTGTATCGACACAAGCACTGCTTCCCCCCAATGTTCCGTTTGGTATTGATAAAAGCTACCATACTGCCTCTACTCGACTACTGTGACATCGTGTATAAATCAGCCCCAAGTACTGTACTGAAGAAGCTTGATTCCATCTATCACTCGGCCTTAAGATTTACATTGAACTGCCCATATAGGACTCACCACTGTGATCTCTTCAAACTTAACATCTCTTAATGTTCGACGGCTTGTGCACCAGATCGTATTTATTCACGATGTACTTACAAAAAAATCCGCAGACTACCTGCTGGATCTCCTCTCTGTTTCAAAGAACAAATTTGACCTCAGGTTTTCGCTCATTTACCAGCTTCACATTCCCTATTGCCGTACAAAAACTGGAGGAAGGTCCTTTGCTATTGATGCCCCCAGGGTCTGGAAAGCTATTGCCAATAAACTGCAACTTGAATCGCTACCAATGAGATCTTCTCTCAAAACTGCTCTAGAGGAGTTGTACACCTCTAGCTGCCACTGCTATTCATTGGCGTAAAATAAAATGAAATGTTTCGCTCCGGATGACGCTGCAAAGTATTATCTGTATTTTGATTTAGCGTACTGTACTTAAAGGTGCATTGAAAATTTTGATACTCCGACTGATGCTTCTGTTGTTGTGGAGTAACTCATCCAGCCAGCTATGGCCCTAGGATTTGGTGTTACATGTTTTTTATGTAGTTTATTGTAAAAATTCGGTCACAGTCCCTATGGTCACTGTTACGTTGCAATTATGGCTTTATTTTTTGGTGATTTCGAAAAGTTTTTTGGTTTGGACATGTTTGTTTTGTTGTAGTACGGAGTTAGACTGATGGCCTTATTCTAAGTTTTCTTGTGGTTGTTGTTGTTTGACTTGCATCCCACTGGGATTTTTTTGCACACAGCGTTGGTGTACGGTGCTTTTTTCAGGAATATTTTCCTGTTTTTTTTTAAAATGGATTTTCTGTTTGCACAGTCACATAGTCACTTTAAGATGTTTTCTTGTTCGTGGTTTTGTTTTTTTATTGTTGTTGTTGCACCCGATTCAAGAGCCGAATGGCTCACAGGGCTATACCAAAATAAATAAATAAACTGAAACTGAATAAACTGGGTCATAGGCAGCATTCCTCCTCCTCCAAACACGGCGAGTTGAGTTGATGCCAAAGAACTCCATTTTGGTCTCATCTGACCACAACACTTTCACCCAGTTGTCCTCTGAATCATGCAGATGTTCATTGGCAAACTTCAGACGGGCATGTATATGTGCTTTCTTGAGCAGTGGGACCTTGCGGGCACTGCAGGATTTCAGTCCTTCACGGCGTAGTGTGTTACCAATTGTTTTCTTGGTGACTATGGTCCCAGCTGCCTTGAGATCATTGACAAGATCCTCCCGTGTAGTTCTAGGCTGATTCCTCACCGTTCTCATGATCATTGCAACTCCACGAGGTGAGATCTTGCATGGAGCCCCAGGTCGAGGGAGATTGACAGTCTTTTGTGTTTCTTCCATTTGTGAATAATCGTACCAACTGTTGTCACCTTCTCACCAAGCTGCTTGGGAATGGTCTTGTAGCCCATTCCAGCCTTGTGTAGGTCTACAATCTTGTCCCTGACATCCTTGGAGAGCTATTTGGTCTTGGCCATGGTGGAGAGTTTGGAATCTGATTGATTGATTGCTTCTGTGGACAGGTGTCTTTTACTGGTAGGAACGAAGTTGTAAACTGAGTGTACCAGCCTGCAATAGATTAATGTGTCCGTCCGTCCGTCCCCTTTCAATACTTTAACGAAGTGAAATCTCGTGCTGTTGGGTGTAAAATCAGCAATAGACAGCGCAGAGACTTGTCCTACCAGCCCACCCTGCAGGGACCTGTTATACAGGTAACAAGCGGAGATTAGGAGCACTCCCTTTAAGAGTGTGCTCCTAATCTCAGCTCGTTACCTGCATAAAAGACACCTGGGAGCCAGAAATCTTTCTGATTGAGAGGGGTAAAATACTTATTTCCCTCATTAAAATGCAAATCAATTTATAACATTTTTGACATGCGTTTTTCTGGATTTTGTTGTTATTCTGTCTCTCACTGTTCATGATCATTTCTTTGTCAGTGGGCAAACGTACAAAATCAGGAGGGGATCAAATACTTTTTTCCCTGACTGTATGCTAATGGCCTTTATAATTCACTGTAACATTTTTTTGGTTCCAGGGTAGTAAGTGTTATTTTCCAATTTCTTATTCCTCAAAAGTACAGAAAATGGCTATTATTCCCCACAAACTTTGCTTTTGTGACTAGAACACAAAAGCAAAGTTAATGATCTCCATTAATAACACTGTGTAACAAATTTATTATTTTGTGTTCCTGGGTAGTAAGTGTTATTTCCTAATTGCTTATGCCTCAAAAGTACAGAAAATGGCTATTATTCCCCAAAAACTTAGCTTTTGTGACCAGGACAGTGATATTTTGAAATGTACCTATTTTCAATTCGAAACGTGTGCATTTGTATCATTCCTTCACATAAGGTCCTGGTCATAAAAGCAAAGTTTGTGTGGAATAATAGCCATTTTATATACTTTTCAGGCATAAGCAATTAGAAAATAACACTACGCAGAACAAAAATCGTGTTGCATCATGTGCTCACTCTCGAGGGCGTTTGAAAAACTTTCTTAACCTGAAGCGTGGGGCCTTATGCTATTAGTCACTCACTATATTATACCTGAGTAGTATGTGTATAGAGGGGAGGAATTTTCTTAGCTGAACGATGTGCTCGCGGTCAATCTCTGATGTGGCAGCGAAAGTTCTTGGAAACCGCCTGACCTCTACTCTTTGGTTCTTTCAGTAAAGTCACGTAGGTACCTTGTCTTCAGTGACTTTACCGAAAGAACCAGAGTATAGATCCCTGCAGTCACGAAAACTTCAAATCTAGATTACGTGACCTCTGGCACAAACAAATACTCTCGATATTTCTGGCCATTGTCAAGCCATGCACATGTGCAGTACACACATACGGCAAAGGTCCACTCCTGATAACCTTGACAGACTTTTGGGGCAAGTGCTGTTAGCGAGCACCTAATGAAGGCTGGCACGGCACACGAGGTGGTGGGTGGCCAGCATATACTATACTGTTACAGTATATGGCACAAAGACCAAGATCACCCGGTTTAGCTTTAACAGAGGCAGGCGGCATATCATGCTGCCCACACAGTCTCCCCAGTGGTGATGTTCACACCGCACCAAGTACTTTAATTGAGGTGGAGTCGACCTAGGGGAGGCCCAGCACCGGTTCCAATAATCGTCACTGCTATTGGCCATGAGCGTGACTCGAACTCAGGTCGCCTGGTTCATAGCGTAGCAACCACTTGGCGAGCATCGACGTCCGATGCTCGCCACGAAGTGACGGTGACGTCACCACGGTGCAAGGCCAGGTGCACTTTGAGGCCACGCTGGCAGGAGATCTCGGGACAAACAGCAGGTGCCATGGGTTGGCTGAGCTGACTAGTAGATGCACACCAGTTGTACTCCCTTTTGTGCCAAATTGCTGCATTTTATCCGCCTGGCGGCTCGGCTCGTCGTTGTGAGCGTCGCTACTCTGCCCTCCGTTGTTGGTGGGCGACTGGCTCCAGCTGTCCAATAGTAGTAGCGTCCTTCACGAGCCTCCTCCAGAGAGGCCGATCTTGACACCGCTGGTAGCAGTCATTGGTAAGTCAACTCAGCTCCACATCCTCCCGTACCACATCAGTCCATCTCTTCAGCCCATGTGCCCGTTTAGCCCCCTCTGTGACTAATCAGAAGCTGCTTGGACATGCAGTAGCTGGGCATGCGGACGACATAACCCAGCCAACGCAGTCTTGCCTGCCGGTGGAGCTCACTCATGGGAATGTGTCCAGATCTTTCAAGGATTTGTGAGCTCCTCACACAATCCAGCCTGGTTAAACCCAGGATGGATTGGAGGCAGGCCAGCCTGAATGTTTCTAACTGGCGCAGATCGTCCATTTAGAGGGGTCCACTTTCACAAGTATAAAGGGAGGGCATGCTTGTGGTCGAGAAGACCTGAAGCTTGGTGCGGGGCGACAGACCAGATAGGAAGTGATTTTTATATTTGCATTTAATGCACTTATAGTCGAATAAAATAGTTTTTTTACATAGATAAATGAACGTTTGACACTTAAGCCCTTCCTCTCTATTGGCCTTTGGCCCCTCATAACCTTAATCCGCCCTTGTATATAGTTGAATACGCTTACTGTCAAATTTTGTACTATTACAGTACTTTTAACAATGTTACTGACATTACAACTCACAATGGGAATGATGATAATGCCGAGAAACCAGGTTATGATGCAGGGCACTATAGGCATATCCATCACAACAAGCACTTCAGCATCAGAAGTTTATTTCCCAAGTAAAGTCCATAGAGCTAAGAAGCTCGTCAATGGTGACTCAGCCGTCAGACATCAAAGCATTCTACAATTAAAAAAAGCAAACAAACGTAATAATAGAAAGTATGTTGTTTTAATAGTCTGTTTTAAATCATGACAGACTGGAGATGGCAAGAAATTAGGTGGTTCTAAAATTTTGTGGCAGCTACATTAAACGCGTTTGATCCTAATGTTGGCGTGCAAATTTAATAGACAATCAGACGCGTGTCGCAGATTTTTTTGTTGGGCTTGTCCAATGGTAATCACAGGTCGAGTCGACAACAGTATACGTCACAACAGGAGTCATAATGAAAGACGTTTAAATAATAGTTCGCCTCAATGTCCTTTATTGGTATGTTTGGCCAACTCTTATGCCAACGAATAATTAAGTGACCATGTGCTCTCTTGGTGCCAGGGGGAGAGCACTCGGGAAATCGAGTGTCGTCAGGGGGTGCTTCACAGCCGGAATTAACTTCAGTGAACCGCACAGGCTATAGACACTCAAACCCGTCTTACCATGCAGTGGATTTACCTCTGCTAAAATCTCTACAATACAGTGAACTCGGGGTAGGGAAAAGCCGCTGAACTTCCATTGATGTTCCTAACGCCGCCAAGGTCAGTAAATCCGTCTAGGATCATATAAGTTGCCACCACACAAAGACAAGACCGTGTTAATCAGATAGGGTTTCTATATTCCGTCCGTGCACATATGCCAGCATCATTTAATTATTTTGAACTGATCGCTTCACTTCAGGAACGACTTCATTCAGCTCTCATGAAAAATATCATTGATCAGCTATGAACTAGACATACATCATCAATAGATGCATTATCAAGGTGAAGTTAGCGTTTAGAATCGTATCCGATTTTTTGCAGCGAAATCCGTAAGCTGGTTGGGCAAATTGGACTGACAGAGATTGGATCCGAACGTCGGATGTCAGATATCTTGACAAAGCACGATTCGTCAGATTTCTACAAAATATTGTCCATGCTCGTCTGTGATTAAATTGTGGCTCTTGTTTTACAAAAAAACGTCTTAACTTAATATAAGGCTATGGGCATAGCAGCAAAAATATAGCCCTTGTCAAATTCAAATCCTGACCTCGGAGGAAATTGATGGGCTAAACATTAATGTAGCCTGGAGTAGTCATATTGTGCTCCTGCACTACAACACTCACGCTAGTAACTCCTTATATACTACATTAGTGCTACATGAGTGGTCCTCGGATTGAGGAGGTTTGGGAATGACTGCTACATGATACTAAGCATCGAATAAAGACGGTCACTGCATCGTGCACTTTCAGATTTGCTTCTGCAGCCGTCTGAAACGCTGTTCTTATATCAGGAAGCAACTGGAGCCATGCACTTTTAAAGCCAGATTGAAAACTAATTTCTTTAACTACGTTTAGCGTTTAGTTTGTATTTCCCCTGCACCTTCGATTATCACGGTTGGCTATGTACAGTGCGAAAGAAGTCCTATGGAGAGGTAGATTGTGTTAATCAGTAGAGCAAGTAAGTGATGATCACGACTGTGTGTGTACAGCTTTGAGTGCTCTTTACAGAAGCTCTTAATTTTTATGCAACATAACAATTGATTAAACATAGGCTTAACCCTTGCCTGCAATAATACAGGCGTTAAGATATTCAAACATTAAATAGACACCACTCGTAAGGCATCAAGTCTGCATTAAATTACGATCTGATTGGTTTGGCCGAATCTCACCCCTTTGGACCATTGCACAATGCCAAACTTTTCGATGAACTTTGTGAAAATACGAAAATTGTCACGTGTAAACAAGTACCCTCCAGTTCAGTAAGATTGTTTTCAATGCCTTTTTACATTCACAATCTGCAATTATCTTTTTAACATGCACTTGTATTTTATTTGTTTTACAGAAACGATTTAAAACCACATACATTTTGGAAGTAAAAAATGCCTTCTTTAAAAGCAAATCTTATAATAAGTTTTGTCATCTTTGTAATATTAACCAGTTGTTTTAAACTCTTTAAGGTAAGTTCTCACATGCACCATCATCAATATCAAGGGGTGGTTGTAATTATGGTTAATTTATCCCTACGTTGAAATAATATATGTTTTTTGTATGAAGTTTTATATTTAACGTATTACACCATCACAAGCATGACTTGGCCCAGTTGTAGCATGTTTGCGGATTGTTGCAAGAGTTTCATTGTTCGAACCTAGCAGGCAGCCCTGGTTATATACCTGGGGTATATTAACCATAAAATGCTACGTGCCGTCTGCTTTACAGTGTGTTACATATAGCTAACAATTCGAAACGAGAAGGCCACTGTGCCAACATCATGGTCTCATTTTTCCTAATTCAATAATTTACTTGCAAAATAGGTGCCACGAGGGGAGTCTTGTAAAATATGGTGAGATGCTTATCGTCTAAGTGCAAATTGTCTTGAGATGCCCCGGTGTAACTTTCTTTTTAAGCTCAATTTGCCTTTCAAATAAAAATAACAGCTAGTTATTTAATTATTTAAAGTGGTGATATCCATTTAATAATTTTGCTTCTTTAGGCATTTGAATGTTTTGCTGAGAGATACACTTTTTGAGCAATAGATATTTGATGTTAACGGTCTTATTTTTACCTGTAACCACCCACATGAGCAAGCTTGGATTAGGATTCATTTTTCTATCATCGACCTCGTACATGCTATCAAGCAGATATTTGGAAAATACTAATGAATACCAATTACTATGATGCTTATCTTTTGTAGACAATAAAAGGTAATTGACTGCTCTCACCAATCAATCCCCTAAATATAACGAGGAAGAACAATCAGGTGTATGCGTGGATTCTGCAATACTTTACAACACTCGTTTAATTAGCATTCGCAGCTGGCGTGCAGCAAGCGGTACATCCTTGGAGAAAAAAAATTAAGTGATTCCAATATATAATGAAAATAACTGGGATCGGTACTACTTATTTCATTACAAATACTGTAGAAACAAATCTAGTTTCCGTCATTCCAGAATGATAACATGGAATGTTGTGTGAATGCAATGTAATAATTTATGTTTAACCTCGACTCCCCTGCTTTGTTGGCTATGCAGTGAGATTGTTACATTAAACTACATCACATAATAATGCAGTTAAATGGATAAAGTATGATTTCAGAGTGTGCTTGATTAATGGCTTACTTTGTATTTTGGCGTTTTAGTAAATGTGAAATGAACCACTTCTTTTCAGACATCGAGCTTTAAAAATGTACCACCAAAACTTCACTACCAAAATAAGAAATTACCATTTCTCCCCAATAAAGATAAAATTAACAGCAGCACAACGACGTATATCCCTATAACAACAAAGCGCCCAATTCTCATTTCAACCAACATCACGTGTTCTACGTCTTTCGAGAACAGTCGAATCACAATACTAAACGGAGGAGAACCTCACACCGTTGGAGACACACTCCATGCTCAAGTGGAAATGTATGACTTTACGAACAGAAGGAAGCTCTACGGTGGGGATTTCCTCCTCGCTCGGATTTTCAGTCCACGCCTTGGGGCTGCGTCTTCTGGCGTGGTGACTGACCTTGGCAATGGTGTGTACGATGTGAGGTTCACGCTCTTCTGGCCAGGAGACAGCAGTCTGGCCTTCACGCTCGTGCACGCCAGTGAGGCCGTGAGCGTGCTGGACAGAGTCCGAGAAACCATTCCAGATAAAGTCACTTTCCTGGGGACATTTGTCAGTGGGAAGTCAAGCGAAGTAACCCAATGCCACACCTTTCTCAAAACAACGAAGCAGGTCTGTGATTATACGGACACGCATTTAAATGAATCATGGAAGTGTGAAAAGCCAAGTGAACTTCCTTGTTCAGCTCTTCTCACTATTAAGTCGTATAACAAGTACCAGAACGTATTTAATGAAGAGGAATCTAAGTTCTTTACAAGGTAAGCACGTGGCACGCACAACACTGAGTGGATCAATTTGCCTTGATTATCGTCAGTTTGTGTTTTAATAGGCACTTTTGCATTAAACATTTATCATGTAAAATGTAGTATTATGCTTACAATAACCGGGGCAGACGGTGGGTATAAGACGATGAAAACTTGCACTTTAATGATTAAATAAGCAGACAATACATCTTCATATTAGTGCCTCCACATAGAAACAAATGGAGCCCCCCCCCCTCCCCCAACCAGAGTTTGAACTCGCAAAGCCACTCGCTGCACCACTGAGCCACCTGGCTTAGATAACGCGATCACATCTTCCCACGTTGATAACGTTTCTTTTGGTGAGATCGCGTAAATGGAAATTTGTCGTAAACCCACGTCCACCCGACACAGCCGATTTAGTAAGGTTCATTACGTGAACAAAACGTGCCAATTGGTTACTATTTCAGTACTACCAGTATTTTGGTAGAGTAAACCCACAACTCATTTACAATTTACTAAGACACATCCTTAGTTAGAATATACGGCATATATCTATGAATGTAATGTGGAAATTGTGAAAATAGCACATTAGTTATTTACAGTTAACATGACAGTAGATATTGGATAATAGACTGTCCGTGCGTGTGTGACGTGGAATCCGTGTGTGACATGGAACGCTCCACGGTGTTGTGGCAGCGATTAAGCCTTTAATTATTTCCGTGCTGTGTAATGTTTTTGAGTCTATCAACATTCAGTGTAAACGTGGAATTACATCAATTAATACACGATAACAATTTACAGTAATAACAGATGCAAGGCTTGCTTAATAAATCATAAAATCAATGTTTAATTTCAAGTGATTTTTTTTCCATCACAGTGATCGCATATGGGTATCGAAACAACTTACGTACACTGTACGAGTTGCTCCAGCAAATGGTAAGTATATATTTTAGATGCAGCAATAATCTGTCATTATGAATGAATAAATACCATTATTTTCGTCAACTGGAGGTCTACCTCAATTACGTATTCCCATCCTAGAGCTTTCATCCAACGCCCCCTCCCCCACCCACCCCCCCCCCCCCCCCCCCCCCCCCCCCCCCCCCGTTTAAATACATTATGTCCGATACATTGAAATCATTACCATGGGTGATTAATGCACAGCCCGTGATCACTCCACATGGGAGTTGTTTGACCGTACAGGTTTGTGCAGGTTGATGAAGACAGGGAGCATATAAAGTCACACCAGGATCGGTCACGGTATTACTCACGAATTATATTAGCCGTGGCCCTGGAATAATAATAATAAAAAAACACAAAGTGCGCCACTGCTCCGCTCCACTCCGCTCTACTATGAATGTGAATTTAATGTAATGTATTGTTCATATTACTAACGTCATAACTGATAATGCTTGTAAAAAAAAATAACAATAACAATTACAGCAAAACTGTTATAAATTAACCATCTAAAATATCTACTTATAAATTAGCTGCAAAAACAATAGCAACAAAATAATAACAGAGATTATAATAAAAACAGCAAAAAAACAAGAGGCCTATATATTGTTTTTCCTGAATATCCTTTACATGATAAAGTTTGGTCGATTATGCGCGAGGAATATTAAAGGTTGTAAATGAGGAGCACTCGTGATCCACCAACCTCTGTAGGGGTCCTTCAGTGTTTCCCTCCACATTTAGAAATGTGCTTTTAAAGTATTTGGCTACTATAAATTTACACGTGAAAAGCCACTTCGTTGAGCTATCAGTTGTGGCCAGGTCGTTTCTGAAAAATAGCTATATAGCTAGGTGGCACTTACCGGGTAAAATCAAACATTTTAGTAATTAGTTTCGTATGAGAGTGCATGTCCGCACTCACAATCATGCCGCGTGTCAACAATAGCAACAACACAGTGCGTTACTATTCTATTCGTGCGAATGGCAACGTGTTCAGGAGCTCAGTTTCAATGTCTGCTGCCACGAAAGGACGTTAGAAAGTGTGTGTAGCTTTGCTGTGCCTCCATTAAAGGAGCGCAGGCTACAATGGTTTACTGCATGTGGTATTTACGTGTGATGTCAGCCCAGACAAATGCGCTACAGCATCACTATTTGCCAGTCCCAGGCTGCACTGAATGTTCACGTGGAAATTTTCTCCGAGGCCAATACTCTTTTGAGAATTTGATAGGGACCACCTCTTCACTTCAGAATTATGATATATTTATATTGGAGGAATCCGATGAGCTATAAAGCTCTTTTTCACAGATGTCCATTAGGAGCGGGTCAGAACGTTAAACTTATCACGCCCCTAGCCCCGCCTTACTCTTTTGGCTGCTGCAGGGTCCTATAGAGAACTTTGTAAGCTCTATCTACTTTTTAACATTGGTGAAAGCTTAACATTTCGCCAACATGTAAATCTAGTAATGACATTCGGCAAGAATTATTGGCTGTAATTCTAAAATGCCAGCGAAAATGGGGGCAGTATGATATGGCACAATCAGACTTGTATAAACGTGCATCATTATTCTTTTCAGAAATGATGCTACAACGGACTTTAGCGACAGGTCGCATTCATTCGCTTCTCAAATACAGAGTAACATTGGTCACAAAGACTATATAAAATAAATTACGTTTAACCAACGTTTATCGTGTAACCTTGCATTAAAGAACATTTTAAAACGTGTTGCACATTGAACCTTACAGTTTTTGCTTTTTCAATAATATATTTAGTAAATTAGACCTAGCAAATAATTTGAGCACAACATTTTTGATTTAAAGCTTTCGTGACTGCAGGAATTCAAAATAATATATTTTTATTTTAATGTTTCCCTTCTACGTGACTTTACCGAAAGAACCAAGAATATGAGCACATGTCTGTGGTAATGTGCTTGTGTAAACACCAGCACTGGGGAAATGAAGGCTGGTGGGCGTAGTATTGGCCACCCACCCCTCACGTGTTATGCCAGCCTTAATAGGTGCTCACTAACAGCACTTGCCCCAAACGGTATGTTAAAGACTTTACGGAGATCTTTGCCTTGACAAATACTTTTTCGCGTGTACAATACGTATATTTAAGCCCCAATTAAAGTGAATAATTAAGCATGATGTTCCACCTGAATTAAATTATTTTCAACATGTTTTTAATCATTGTTTTTTTTACTTCTTACAAGGTTCATTTGAAAGCAGTTTTGAAGATTGCGCTATGGGTTTTGGAAATCCAAACCCCAGTGGATATTACCTGAGAAATACGTGGCAATCTACGTATTGCAAAACGAAGCAGTTCAAGTCACCATTATCTGTTTTGAACTGCTTGAAAGGGAAAAACGTAATTCTACTTGGCGATTCTACCATAAGGCAGTGGTGGGAATATATAGTTAGTTTCATCAAAGGTAACGGCACTTAATATTATTTGTAGTTGTGTACATGTGGTTATTGATAAATGTAAATCATCACATTCATCTTAAAACTGAGGGCTAAACATATATGGTTCCCAGAAGCAGATTTTTCAGGAGTGGGCTTTGGTCACTACTCTGCTGATGAATCCTAAGAATAGCGAAACCGATCTACAGTTTTTCTGGCACTGCTGCTGTCACATTTGCTTCAATTTATTTCTATGGTCACCCAAGACGAGAAGACCACAATGCACTTCAGGAATTGCTCATGGTTTAATGCATAATGCACAAAGGCCAAGTTGATTTTACACATTTTGTGTGTGCGTTCGATATTATATATAAAAAATGCATTATATATTTATCCAATTGACTATTTTGATTGTGCTTATTAATGGAAACATTAAATATAGAAACAATTTAACTTAGTTTAATTTCAACGTACATGTGTCCTGTCTCTCGTACAGATTTACAAGTTATCGATCTTCACAAACCTGGAAAGCATCAACCAAAAAAAGCTGTCAATAAAAGCTACAACGTCACGTGGCAATGGTTTTGCCACAGCTACCCGTTTATTGCATCGGCAGACACTTATCCAGAAGACCTCAAATACGTAGCGAATCGAATTGATAACATCACCGGTGGGAGCGACACTGTCTTAGGAATCTGCCTCGGCGCCCATTACACGCCCTTCCCTCTGCACGTGTTTGAAAAGAGAATGTGCAACATTAAAGCGGCAGTGGAAAAACTCCTGATTCGAAGTCCTGAAACGAAGGTCATCGTTAAATTGGCGAACACACGAGAAAATTATGGCGTGGGAATATTAAACAACTGGGGCACATTTAGAATTAATCAGATCCTTTTGGAAGTGTTTAAAAACATGAACGTTGCATTTGTAGATGCGTGGGATATGACAGCTGTGCTTAATTCTGCTCAGGTTCACCCGAATCTTTCCATCGTGAAAAATCAAGTAAATGCTTTTTTGTCTTTTATTTGCTAATTCAGTGGGCTCACATGACATTGATTTCTCCAAAACCGACGTTCTCTGCAAGCCATCTGGCTACCATGAAAGACTCGTTAATGAGGCTATCCACATATACAAACACAGAGACAATTTCAACCAAGAAGATGGATTCTGGCTTAGCAATCATTGGAAGGATTTGATAAACCATTTCGGGTCTTAATTGATTGTGTTCACGCTTACAGTGACTTTCAGACCGCGTTCCATTCTCTTTCTAACTCCCCCCTCCTCCGTTCCGAGCATAGATGGACTTGTCCGTCTAAACAACCGCCAGTTACTGTCCGTGGTGCTAACATTAAGAAAAAAACGCCACTTTTTTCAAAATTTCTTGCTGTGATTTTCACACCTGATGATGATGGCTTGTGTTGCAATCGAAACGTCGTGAGAATTTTATTGTTTTATTTGTATTATTTTATTATTTTCCTTCTACGTGACTTTACCGAAAGAACCAAGAATATGAATCCCTGCAGTCACGAAAGCTTTCAATCGAAATGCAAATATATTGCATACAATGTTTAGATCATATGTAGCAAATTAGCATTACTTTAAATATGTATATTGTTCACTGCTCAAACCACTGTTTTGAATAACTTTTTGAGGTTTTGGTATCCATCCGGGTGTGTCTGTGGCAGAGTGCTTGACTAAGATGCAGGAGGATGGTTCAAATTACGTAAAAAAATGTTTACGACGGATGGACTTATCCCCCTATATGTCCAGTATCCTTAAATGGTGTAGTTGCCTCCTCGTTAGGTTGATGCTTGCTATCGCTACGTGGAAATTTGACAACTGACTCAGAGATGCCAATGCAGAAGAGCGCCACGGAATGTTTTTTTTCATGCTTTTTTAAAAATCTGTCTGTCTGTTGTTGTATCCTCAAATCTTGTAACTCAATTTTAACCCACTTCCCAATGTGGTATCGACTGCAAACTTGGTATACGTATGTCATACTCATGACAATGCTATATTCTATAAAAAAATAAAGAATATATTTTCAAACATGCTTTTTCATATGTTATGTTTCGGCTTGGGTCTAATTGTCCACGCTCAACTAACGTTGGCTGTAAATCATCACGGTCCCCTTACGTTGTGGCAAGCTTTGCGGCCACTTCCTGGAGTCGTGGAGTTCTGGCATTATGAGTACGGTACATTTCATGAAAGCGTGTTTAAATTTTTTTTTCAATATTACTTATTTTATCTTGGTGACGCTGACACTTAAGGTTGCGGACACAACATTCACTATGATGTATATAATCGTGGAATAACTTTTGTTCTGGTGGGTGTTCTAGTGCACGCGGCTATAATTAAATATTACGCATACATGTAGAATGTACTGCGATTATTATACGTGAAACAAAGAATGTGCATTGTCTTAAGTGAAACTTTCAATCTACACAAGAAACGGGAAATAGCATGTATTTGATTAATTATTCCAAGGTAACCTGCCAAACTCCCTTCAAGTATTTGAGACTAAAATGTCCGAAATCCAATGAACTTCAACTCAATACCATTCTGCTCCCTAAAATCCCAGCTATAAACCTTGGCGAGATGTTAAATACCTCGCCTGGTATACAGGAAGTCGTGGGTTCGATTCTGACCCTAACGCCTGTGTATCTTAAGTTTGCTTGTTCTCCCCGTGGTCGTGTGGATTTTTCTCCGGATGATAAGACACTTTGTTGAGCTATCATTTGTGGCCAGGTCGCTTCAGGAAATGAGCTATATAGCTCCGTGGACATTATCTGGTGAAGTAAAATAGTAAACCTTTGTAAACATCTCTTTGATTGGGGTAGACCTACTGCAGGTTACGGAGCCCTCTACTACATTAACATTAGCTGCCCCGCCCAACAGTCTGCCTCAGCAGCTTTCCCCCTCTTTTTTCACCTGATGACGATTGCTTGTGTTGTGAACGTCGTGACATTATTTTTTTTCTATCTACGTGGCTTTACCGAAAGACCTAAAGAATATGAATTAAAAAAAATAGTCAAACTAATGTCAACAAAGGAATAAACTGGAAATGCATTGAACTTGATAGCACTCAATTTTCTTCATGGTTTCCAAGACTCATTATTCACCCCCAGATCTAGAACAAGATTGTATATGTTAACATAGAATATAAGGAAATACTCGGCTGTAAAGTGGCCAAAGCCATGCATCTTTTGTTAAGCCTCCATCTCAAGAGGTAATGTTAATTAAACGAAAACTAATTATCCGCATGACTTATACATAATTACCGCCACAGTAACTGCATGTTGTGTTTCGTTTGTTGTCCTTCCCCGCACCTCTGAATAGCACGGTTGGCGACATACGGTGACAGGGATAATGAGAGGGGGGGATGGGTGAGGTGCCGTGGGGTTAAGAGTGGGCGTCGGCAGGATTTAAGGAAGGAGGGAGCCGTGTATGATGGAGATGTAAATAAAGAACTGGAAGCGTTACCCAAGGTGATTAGTGGTACTACTGTCCTATCATGCTGTTAATTAAAAATCAAGGTGTACTTGGTTGTGTGTGTACTCTAGTTTGACGTGACTAGTTCATGCCGAGGTGAGTCGTGGTTGGACGACTTGCGTTCATTGATTGGACAAGGTGAATTCATGTGATTAGAGTAAAATAATCCACGACCACACCATGGGATGGTTCTATCAGGTATCTTGAAGTCCCAATTTCCTGTGGGAAGAGAGCATCTCGAAGTCGCAATTTACTCAATCTGGGAAAGTGGATGTTCCTTGTGTGTGGCTATTGTATAAGCACAGGACATGCCGCCAAAGTCACCATCATGCTAAATCATTATCTTCATTTGCCAATATTTCCATTGCGTTAACAACCCAGGCAATGAGGTACCGTTTATATATATAAAAACTTTTTTTTTAACAAACCGCCGACCAAATGCACCATTCACGCAACACCCCAGTAGCGTCGCTGCGAACCACGCGGCGTCGACTGCTGCCTCATTGAGTTGATTTGAAACCAAAAAATATAAACAACTTGTCATACAGATATGTGCGCGTGAAGCAAACTTGAGTCATACGGCCAGCACTTGCTCCGGACGCACCTGACTCGTCTTTTAAGCCCGCAGCTGCTCGCGAATGCGGCAATAGGGCTCGGAATGCGACTCTGCTAGTGCCGGATTCAGCTAGTGCCGGGGGGGGGGGGGGTTGCGTGGATGGCGCATTCGGTCGGCGGTTTGATGGTTTGATGGTTTGGACCACAGGCGCAGTTCGGCGCTTCTCTGATTTAATAAAAACGTGTGGGAGGCGTGACGCGCATCTCCACGTTGCGTTCGAGCGCGGGTTTAGCGAGGTCCGCCGTCGTTATGGGAGAGTGAGAGAGAGAGAGCCCGGTGCTTCTAACAGTAGGGCCCTCCAATGAGGGTGTTTGCCACGTCTACAGCCGCCCAAGATTCCACCCAGGGAGTGGCCATGCAGCGTAGTAACTACATTCCTTTTTGTTAAAACGTCGAACCAAGGAATGCACTTGTTCGGGGGTAATTCACGCCTCGCCTTCACGAGAGCAAACCGTCACAATGCATTGGGCCAGCAACACTTTTTTCTCATTAAACGTTTCATATAGATGCGTTTACTTTGTAACATTGTTTTAAATGTTGAAGTTTCTGGTAATAAAACAAGTTATAGTAATAGGTTTTACCCTTTTAACTGGCACAAAAACTGGCACCTTTATTCAAGGCATCATGTTTGCAATAACCACAACACAAGCAGTCAAAATGCATTTTGCATTTTGACTGCTTGTGTTGTGGTTATTGCATTTTGCATTTTGACTGCTTGTGTTGTGGTTATTGCAAACATGATGCCTTGATTAAAGGTGTCAGTTTTTGTGCCAGTTAAAAGGGTAAAACCTATTACTATATCTTGTTACTGGCAAAGGAGGTCTCATAAAAATAAAACAAGTGTTAGGCACCTCGTCATATGCCTATAAACAGAAAAACTGATAATCAGAAAATACTAAAAAAAAATAATTCGCGTTCGCCCCCATGGTGTTAAGTGCAGTCTCCAATCCCTGTTGATGTTATCTCTCTATGATCGCTAATCATATGTGCTATGAAGAAGACCCAATTTAATCTAGATATATATATTTTTTATCCCATTGTATGATTGACCAATGTGTGGAGTATACATAGCTCGGGCGCATGAGCGAGATGATTTTGTTGTTGTTGTTGTTGCGGCAATCGGTAACGAGAGCGACGACGTCGGGAGTCCGACGAGCAGTGGATAGACCATGGCTGAACGTGGCGTTTACCGGGGCACGAGAATTCCGTGGCAAGGCCGTACGGTGGATCTTTGCTCTTGTGGGACATCACAAAGGCGGATGACGTCACGCGCGGGGATCGATGACGCGCAGCAAAGCACGCCGCGCCCATTGTTTGCCCCGAGTGAGAAGTCTCTTGCCGCGGCGGCCGTCACCTGCCACGATCACGTTGGCTGATGACTTCGATGATTTCGTTTTTTTTTTTACTTTGCTGTCGAGCTCTGCATAACGTCTCCTTCCGCCGTTATCTCGATCTGGCTCCGTGCGATGTGAAAGAAGTTCAACGTACTGTACGTGTCCGCGAGTTACCGTTCCAACTCTCAACCGTAATTAGCTTGAAGCTTAACATGAAGATTAAATCAATCTGCTCAAGAAACTGAAGGTTAAAATATATTGGGGTACGTGCTTGTCATTATGTGAAATGACAGAGGGGTTAATAATATACTTGGGGCTGAGTGTTGTAACGCATGAACTTTGTATTGTTTGACGTGTATACGGATACACCCAGCGTAATTTTTATATAATTATATATATATGGGTGCAGTCTGTGCAGGCTGGGTCGAACACCATCCGCTTATAAAATAAAGTCATCTTTAGTTCAGGTTGTGGAGTTAAATATACTGTGGTTAAGGATCACCAGAAGAATAAACACGCACGTGAATGGTAAACATGTTTATACGTTTTGATGTAAAACTTTCGTGACTGCAGGGATTCATATTCTTGGTTCTTTCGGTAAAGTCACGTAGAAGGGAAACAATACAATAATAAAAATATAAAACAATATATTTGTATTATTTTATTGTTTCCCTTGTACGGGACTTTACCGAAAGATATAAAACAATATATTTGTATTATTTTATTGTTTCACTTCTACGTGACTTTACCGGAAGAACCAAGAATATGTTTATACGTGTAATACCGCATCGTGTAACACGGTAAGTTGTCGCAGTCGCTTACAACCCACGTGCGGTTGGTTGTCTTAGGCGGAGCCTCCGGTCGAGCATCAACTGCTGACAGTCCCAGCTGCAGCAGCAAGAGAGATGAGATGATCAACACAGGTGCGCTTCTGCGGCCGTCTGGAACGCTCTTCCTTCCGATATTAGGAAGCCACCGGAGCTATGCACTTTTAAATCCAGATTGAAAACTAATTTATTTAGAACTGTTTTTGTGTTTAGTTTGTTGTCCTTCCCCGTATCTCCGATTAGCACGGTTGGCTACGTACGGTGCGAAAGAAGTTCAACATACAGTACAAGTGACCATGATTATGGTCACTCATAGTCATAGAGAATGTAAGTAAAGTAACTCGATTAATAAGTAGACAACACGCCTGCTTCCCCTGCCTGCCCAAGCACTTTGTGTTGTGTATTAAATAGTTTGCGTCGAACTTGGACCCATATCTAACAGAGAGGGAGGTTACTTGCCTATCAACACCTGGTAGTTCACCAACATTGGTGCGATCAAGCAGCCTGACTCTACTCGTGAGACAATGGGTAACCAAACCGGTTCAGAGTTTTCTATTGTTCAACCAATGCTGCTGAAATGATGCGCTCCCAAAAGGCAGTGTGGTTGATGGGACGTGTCAAAAATACTGGTATTTGTTACGTGGAGGGACAGATATCGGATAGAGGTGTACAGTATATTGTCTAATTATTTATCTATAATTAATGACGTTTACGTTCATGATTTGTTTGTGACTTATAAAAACTGATGCTTAATTTCCCATGTACTTTTTCTGTTCGTTACAAGTTAATCAGAAATAAAAATCGAACATTGTAGAATTTGAGCATTTTGTTGTTGAGGTCATACACTGTGAACATTTTAAATGAAATTAGTATTCAAACGACAAATAATACACCTTTTTTTTGCAGGAAAAATGAATTTCAAGACATTTAGAAGTCATATTACGGTCTCCAATATAATCGTTTTTATCACATCACTTGCAGCCGCACTCCTCATATATTGTTCAAATGGATATTTCAAGGTAAGTTTTAAGCACTGCCACCCTTTGAAGTTGGAAGATGTGCGGAAGTCGAGCTATTATATATTTCATCATCCGTGCAACGCCTTTCTTATCAAGATACCGTAACTATTTGCAGATGATTTGTCATTATACGTCTACCATAGAAATGTACACGTCCTTTAAAAAAGTTAAACCATTGATACAATGAACACGTGGACTGTTAAATTTTGATTTAAAGCTTTCGTGACTGCAGTAATTCATATTCTTAGTTCTTTCGGTAAAGTCACGTTGAAGGGAAACAACACAATTATTTTGTTGTTTCCCTTCAACGTGACTTTACCGAAAGAACTAAGAATACGTGGACTGTTGTCAACGTTATGAATCTCATCAGCAGTCAGGCATGTTGCTAGGTTGCCTGAAATGTTATATTATTTAATTTGTACGTGTATAAACATACCGAATAATATAAAACTTACAATATTTTGTTTAAAGTTCCAAGCTATGCTACCGACACTCAAAGTTAAATGCAGTCCATTGTTTTGCCTGATCATTGAAATTCTGAGGAAAAAAACCAAGTAATTGAGGGCTTTAGAGTGGTGGTCAAATATCATCTAATTTGCACTAGTTGGCCTGTGGCCACATCTGCCACACGGAAGCTACGCTGCCTTCTGCACATGCTTTTATTCTATGCTTTTATTACACATTTTTACTCCTTTGGCCCCCACTCCTTCCTGATTAGGCGCCACCTTTATATCTTTCAGATCCGCGCCTTACCTATTTAGGCCCCGCCTATGATTCTTTCGTCCCCTCTTTCTCTTTAAGCCCCGTCTCGGTCACAGGGTTTGGCTGATAATATCGGTAGTGGTGGGGGTGGGTGTGGGCGCGTGGCAGTGGCATTGCTGGGCGGGGACAGTAGAGGTAGGGCGGCTTCACGACCACCAAAATCCCTCCGAGCATTGTGATATTCTAGATTTGAAGTTTTCGTGACTGCAAGGATCCATACTCTTTGGTTCTTTCGGTTAAGTCACGTAGGTGAAAAGAAAATAATAATGAAATAATTAATGAATAAAATAAAACTGCAAATAACTGAATTAAATCATACAAACATAGACATAACTTCAACCGAGAAGATGGATTCAAATTTAGCAATCATTGGAAGGATGTTATAAACCAAGTTAAACCTTAGCTACCTTATAGTTCATATTCATATCCACATCCCCAGTCTTTTACTCTCAGCCCTGTTCACTACCATCACTAGGAAATGTTACGTGCATTGTTTTGACTGTGTTCCCACCAGCCGTGTTTCAAAAGGATCAACAGGAGCTTCTCCCCCCCCTACTCCACACTGCCCGCCCCCTGCATCTCTCCTCCCTGTCTTGCAGTGTTTTGATTGTGTTTTCAGCAGCCGTATCTCAACAGGACCAACTGGACCCCCCCTTACTCCACACCCCCCCTGCACCTCTTCTCCCTGGCTCCTCTCCCCCTCTGACCTTACATAATCGCTTCACAAACAGCTATCTTTGCCAACTACAATAAAGCATTTTTTTGCCGTGGTTGTCCCACCTGATGACGGAAGCTTGTGTTGCTTCCGAAACGTCGTGCTTTAATTGAGTTATTTTCAGTTTTTATTATTATTTAGTTTTCACCTATGTGACTTTACCGAAATAACCAAAGAACATTGTAATATTATGCGTGGTGAAACAAAACCTTTTGTGATTTTCTTTGATACACAACCTTAACAATGTTGTAATTTACAACCTGTCATTCAGTGCTCTATATAAGTTATACGATACAGCTTTTTGTAAAATGCAAAAACACTTTTTTTTTCAGAACACATGGAACCTTAAATCATTACCACCAAAAGTTCACTACCAAAATGCATTATTACTTCAAACAAAATATACAATCAGTGATACAATGACATATCCTTCAACAAAACATAAAATACCAATTTCAACCAACATCACTTGTTCTACATCTGCCAAGAACAGTCGAATCACAATATTAAACGGAGTAGAACCTCACACCGTTGGAGACACACTCCATGCTCAAGTGGAAATGTATGACTTTGGGAACAGAAGGAAGCTCTACGGTGGAGATTTCCTCCTCGCTCGGATTTTCAGTCCACGCCTTGGGGCTGCGTCTTCTGGCGTGGTGACTGACCTTGGCAATGGTGTGTACGATGTGAGGTTCACGCTCTTCTGGCCAGGAGACAGCAGTCTGGCCTTCACGCTCGTGCACTCCAGTGAGGCCGTGAGAGTGCTGGACAGAGTCCGAGAAACCGTTCCAGATAAAGTCACTTTCATGGGGACTTTTGTCAGCGGGAAGTCAAAAGAAGTAACTCCATGCCACATTTTTCCAAACACTGCCAAGCAAGTCTGCGATTTCACCGATCCACATTTACTTGAACCGTGGATGTGTGAAAAACCAAGTACGCTTCCTTGTTCGTCTCTTCTCACTATCAAATCACGCAACAGGAACATATTTAGTCAAGAGGAAGGTCGTTTTTTTACAAGGTAAATAAACATCTGATAATTTCTTCACGACTATGGTGTTCCTAATAAAAACCTCATCGAGGGCCCCACCACTGCTCTGCACGGGTTTATTCTAAGAATGCTGCGCTCACTGTGCGCACCTCTTCCACACGTGGGAAATTAAAGATGACCCACGGCAGAGTGACTGCGGCCACCCGAACCACACAATGGACCATATTACAAACAAGTTAATTCTGTAGTGCTACTCCCAAAGCTATCACATGGCTCACAAACTTAAAACTGGACATATAATTTACACGTATTTGCCATAGGGTAGAAGAAAAGACTGCAATTGTTTCCTTTGACCTGGAATATTTACAATATTCTTGTATTTATTTCAAGACATTTCTAGAACCAAATGTTTCCAGATGTCATACATTGTTTGCACTTTCTCTTGCAGAGAAAAGATATGGAAGCCAATTCCATCCGCATACAAAATAGATGTTGCCCCAATAACTGGTAAGTATATATAATAACAAATATTTTAAATGTTTATAAATGTGAACAAACTGCTTGTATAGTGCAAAAAAAGCTGTTGGGCAGGAGGTGTTGGCATCTATTACACTATGTAACACAATTTTTGTTCCTGGGTAGTGTTATTTCCTAATTGCTTATGCCTAAAAAGTATAGAAAATGTCTATTATTCCCCACAAACTTTGCTTTTGTGACCAGGACAGTGATGTTTTGAAATGTCCCTATTTTCAATGAGAAAACAGGCCAATTGGTGTATTTTTGTTCACATAAAGTCAGAAAAAAACCAACATAGGAATCAAAATTGAAATGTATTTATACTAAAGTAATACAAAAATTACTACAAAAGATTTAGAAGTGAGTAGTTTTTCGAGATTTACGATTATACTGTCAATCACTTTCACGAATCAGCCCCCAAATGTCGTCTCCCATAATTTTCTCGTTATACTGTCCTTGCTTACTTGATAGCGGCGTTAAAAGTCCAGTAAATCCTGGTGGAAGCACTCGCCTTGTTCCCCTGAGTACGCTCCCATGCTCTTCTTTAATTTAGCAAGATGAGCATCAAGGATATGGACTTTGAGGGACATCCTACAGCCCATTGTGCTGTAGTTCTTCACCAGAGTCTCAACCAGCTCCACATAGTTTTCGACCTCGTGAGTGCACAGGAAGCCACGAACCACTGCGACAAAGCTCTTCCAAGCCGCTTTCTCCTTACGAGTGAGCTTCTTTGGGAATGCATTGCACTCCAGGATCTCCTTTATCTGTGGTCCGACGAAGACACCGGCTTTGACCTTTGCCTCAGACAGCTTAGGGAAGAAGTCTTGAAGGTACTTGAAGGCTGCCGACTCCTTATCTACAGCTCTGACATTGTTTCATAAGGCCTAATTTGATGTGCAGTGGTGGCATCAGCACCTTCCGGGGGTCCACCAGTGGCTCCCACTTGACATTGTTCCTCCTCACAGAGAACTCGGTCAGCTGTGGCCAGTCCCGCCTGTGGTAGTGCGCCTTGGTGCCCCTGCTGCCCCAAAGGCAAAGATAGCAGGGAAACTTGGTAAAACCACCTTGGAGACCCATCAGGAATGCCACCATTTTGAAGTCTCCGATGACCTCCCAGCCATACTCATCATACTTCAAGGCATCCAGCAAGGTCTAGATGCTGTTGTAATCCTCTTTGAGGTGCACCGAGTGAGCCAGGGGAAGAGACGGGTACTTGTTACCATTATGGAGCAGCACGGATTTGAGGCTCCTGGATAAGCTGTCAATAAAGAGGCGCCACTCATTCTGGTAACAGGCGATTCCGATTGCCTCGAACAGATGGTCACATTGTGGCAGAAGCAGAGCCCATCTTTACGGGCGAAGAAGCTGCAAAAAGGTTGATGACGCTTCCTCTGATCTGCGACTTGCACACTTTCATCCAACAAGTTCCACTGCTTGAGCCGAGACGTAAAAAGCTCGGCATTGGACTTGGTGAGACCAAGATCTCTGATCAAGTCGTTGAGGTTTTTTTGGTTGGGGTAGTATGCGTTTCTCTCCTCAGCTCCACATCTGAAATTGTCATCTGGATCTACAATGTCTTCCTCGCTCTCTGACTTGCTGCTCTCTTCTAAAAACGGCTGCTCTCTCTCTCTGGAGGAGTGAGTACGGGGAGCTCATGGCAGTGTGGCACAGGGGCGATGGATGAAGGAAGGTCCGGATACGTGATAGCAGGTGCATTCTTGGCAGTCCGACGTTTGAAAGGGTCCACCATGTAGAAGTAGCAGTTGCTTGAGTGGTCAGTGGGTTCCCGACAAATTATTGGGATAGTGAACATCATGGCTCTCTTTTCCCCTCTGTACCATCCTACAAAAATACATTTATTTCACCCATGACTAATGTGTAAGAGATTCTCGCAACATTTTTCATATATGATATCTTTTTTCAATAACATTGAACATTGTAAAACATTAAAATTAAAAAACTTTTACAATTTTAAAATTTTAACTAATTTTATTACGTAAAATTCCGAGCAACAATTGTCCATCTTACCTTCCAGAGTGTTTTTGCATTGCTAGCAGGTGCAATGAGGTGCCCAGGGTTTGTCTTGATCCCCGACAGGCATGCCAAAATACGCCTTGTAGGCCTCACACATCTTAGCAGATGCTTCCACAGACTACTTTTTTGCTCTTGTCTTGATAAATTGGCCGCAGACATAGCAAAATGCATCTGCCGGATGCTAGCAGCCTCTTGATGCCACCTCAGAAAAATGCAGATATGTATCCACTTAGGCAGCTGGAACTAAGCTGAACTGGTGAGCTTAAGGCCCCTGTATTTATACTCCTATTTATATTACTGGAAAGTTCTAGAATGTTCTAGAAGTTACTCCAAGTTTACTCAGCAATGAATCTCTCTGGAATCTTCTGGAAAATAGGTAAATTTCTAAATATCAGTGTCCTGGTTACAAAAGCAAAGTTTGTGGGGAATAATAGCCATTTTCTGTACTTTTGAGGCATAAGCAAATAGGAAATAGCACTTATTACCCAGGAACAAAAAAATTGTTACACAGTGTTACCAAACACTGCTTAAATTTCTTACTTGCCTTGTTTTACTTTATTCCTCTAAAGGCCCACTGAGATTCCTTTTCAAGTGAGACTTTGCATAGTTGCAATCATATAACAATTATTGTATGCACTCTATATTAAATGTGATTCGTGATCCCAGGATGAATATCTGAACACTTGGAGATATCTCAGAATTTTCCCCAAAGTTCACTAAAATTGCAAAATGAATACTAATATATACTTTTATAAGTTCGATTTAGTGTCTCAAGTACTGTAGTTATATTCTCCACGTTCTTGTCAGCTATTGATCATAAACTGTTTATTTACTAATACACATATATAGGGACCTCTGAATGTACTTTTGAAGTTCAATTTGTATGCGTTACAAATTTCATGAATGAAGAAATATATACTGGTATTTTTGCTGTTGCAAAGATACGATCAAAAACATTGTAAATATATAAACTATTTAGGGAATAGTAGAGAGCCATGCCAGTCAAAGCCTGACATCAACTTCTCAATGTAACTTGAATATAGTTAAACACTTATTTTAAACTTTAAAGGATATAAATATACAGTACTGGGAAATGTTAGGTTAGTATTTGGGGTAAAGATTTGTCGAGCTGTGCTCCTACACCTGTAACGTATGTATAAAATATTTTCGCATTACATTTAGTGTAATATTCATTTTTGGATTCTGATTCCAAACGGTTTGAATGTTATTGGCTGGCAGCATAATAAAATTGGAACCTAATTGTAAAACTATGTTAGACATCACTTTATACTGGTAGGAACGAAGTTGTAAACTGAGTGTACCAGCCTGCAATAGATTAATGTGTCCGTCCGTCCGTCCATCCGTCCGTCCCCTTTCAATACTTTAACGAAGTGAAATCTCGTGCTGTTGGGTGTAAAGTCAGCAATAGACAGCGCAGAGACTTGTCCTACCAGCCCACCCTGCAGGGACCTGTTTTCCAAAATAAGAAATACTAAAATGTATTTTAGTACCGTTTAACTGTACATTGATAAATACCCCATGTCAGTGTTTTTGGAAAGTTTACATTTACATTATATTAAAAACAGCATCCATTCCTCACTGGTGCTGCAGCACAGGTTGGGTACTCATGCTTTCATAGAAAAGGTATGACGATTCCATGTGTTTACTGCCTTAAATCAACAGGGAAGTTCAATCTCTGTAAGCTCTACCCCTTCCTCTGTAGGACCCGGCCCTTCTGATTTAGGCCCCACCGCCTTTCTCTTTATTCCCCGCCCCTTTACATCTTATTCAGGCCCCGTCGTTTCCTCGTTCAGGCTCTGCACCTTTCACTTTTAAGTCCCGCCCCGTCTTATTTAGGCCCCACCTCTTTCTGTTTAGGCCGTGCCCCTTCCTCCAGACAGGATTGGGCTGGTTTAGTTTAACACATAGGGTTTCGCGACTAATATCCATAATACAGGTTTTTTTGGGTTAGATTGCATAAATATAAATGTGTCGTTAAACCCGCCACCACCCGACACAGCCAATTAGTAAGGTTTGTCACGTCAGCAGAACATGCCAATTCGTTACTAGTACAGCACATCAGTGTGTTGGTGAGCAAAGCCACAACATTTACAATCTGATTACAACGTTTTGCCAGTAATTACAACTAGCTTCATCGGGCGACAGACAGATTTGTGGAGAAATCCTCCTGTTTTGTTCCTTAAATAGCGTGGTAGATGTGATGACAGCATTTGTGAGCACTTATTCTTGCGCAAAGCGGGAGGGGGGGATTTATGAATGTGTATAAATGACATTGGGTATCTATTGCCGGTTGGGTTATTTATATGGTAATCGGCGTACATCATGCATGCACATTATGCAAGCCCATTGTTCTTTTACCTCCTGTCGATTATGTGCAGTAAAATAGCCGTACTTATTATTGTTCAATGGTAATCCCTATTGAAGTATGGTGACCTGTATAGGCATGCATGTAAACATTGTATTACTTGATGATTAGCTTCCAAGCAGCACTAAGTCTGTAGCTATCCGAATGGTTAAAAGAATTTTTATTTCTCAATTTCGATAGATTCTCTAATTAGTCTTGGCCAGTAGTAACTCGTTTTGCACAGAACTTAAACATGATCAAAATCAATTGATTGTCCTTGTTGGCAGGCGTGTTCTGCCACTCCCGATAGTTGTATTCAGGAGTATTTAATATTTATTTGATGTTCTTTTACTCTCGTGGTGATCATTCGTCCCTTGTTCCCAACAGAGCATTTTCCACACGTGCAATTAGTCCGGTACACACCTTCTGTTGATAGCTTCGGTAATACATCTTTTGTAGCAGATATAAGTTTCTGTATTTTATGTACTGTGCCAAATCTGACTCGGATGTTTTGCTTTTCCAAACATCTGGCTAGTTTATCAGTTACGCCCGCAATGTAGGATATTTTGATAGTTTAATTACTTCGTCAGTTTCAACGGTCGTGTTATTTTATTTGGTTTTGGCATTCAGTGCCCTGTTGGTTTTGGTAGTGGTGGGGGTTGTGGAGGTGGTTGGGGGGGGGGGGTCATCAGCAGCAGTGGGTTGGGACAGTCAGGGAAGTGGTGGGCTGCTACAATAGGTAGGGGTGGGAAGGATAAACGATTACCAAAATCCCTCACAGAGCAATATAATAGATAATGTAACATTACTAACTTTAACTGCATTGTATTTACAAACGGCTGTAAATGTACAAATCATAATACAGTAAAACTTTGGATTGCGAGCATAATTAGTTCCGGAAACGTGTTTGTAATCCAAAGCACTCGTATATCAAAGCACTCGTATATCAGTTGTGATCACGGGATGCTCTGCAGCCAAAGCGTATACGTACTACTACTCGTATTGCAAGACCTTGCTTATTTATTAAATTTATTTCAATTTTTTGCTCGTCTTGCAAAACACTCGCAGACCAAGTTACTCGCAATCCAAGGTTTTACTGTAAAGGTTTTTGGTTAGATTGTGTATGTATAACTAACATGTACCAATATATGGATAAAAGGGCTTCTGCAATGTTGCATTAAAGGCTGCTTCTTTAATAAGATACACCCGCAATCCCCCTGCTTGTTTTGATCGAAGTTGTCCCGGATTTTAGACTGTGTTTTTTTCTATATGCAATGGGCTTCACATTCTATGTGAAGTAGTCTGCCCAGTGGCAAGTCTTGAGCTATCCGATTGCGAGTGTTCTTCTCCATTTCCTTACACGGACACCCTTCCTTTAAGTTGTCAAGTAGCATTTCATTTTTTTTTTTGCTTCTTGGCCTCTTTGCCAACATCCATAACCCCTATGAGAATGGTGTACAAACACCATCTCATGCCAATCAACAATGCTTTAAATAGGTGATCTTTTATTCATTATACACGTAATAATAAACAAATGCGGTATGTTCTTGTTATAGACTTGTTGGAAAGCAGCCTGCCCAATTGCAGCATGGGAATGGGGAATCCAAGTCCAAGCGGATATTACGTCAAAAATGCATGGTGTTCGTCATATTGCAAAATGAAGAATTTCTCTTCGCCATCATTGGTTCTGGGCTGTTTGAAGGGGAAAAACGTATTTCTCCTTGGTGATTCGACAATAGGACAGTGGTTCAGTTATCTTGTTCATTTCACCAATGGTAAGGAATGACGATACTCATTCATTTGTATTCATGAACCACTGCTCTTAACAGTAAATCTCTCAAACATTTTTCTGATTGAAATGCATGCAAATGCATTCATGCATGATGCACTGAATGTGCACACTTTTATGCCGATGCACAGCTTAAAGCATTGTGTGTACGTTTTCTAGAGGCACATGAAAACCATCACAGATTGTTCGTTTTTCAACATTGAGTTATAAAGCATCTATTATTTAGTGGTGACATTTTCATGCCATTTTCTACAAATATAACATTGTCATCTACAGATTGGTCCTCATGGTAAATACCATAAAATTCTAGAAAAAGTTTTCATTATAAAAAATCTAACAACTGCATAACTTCTTAATAATATATATCTGTACCGTTGCAGAACAATAATAGTGTGTGTGTGTGTGTTGCCCTTTCTGCAGGTTTCAGAATTGTAGATCGTTACATTCCTGGAAAACATATGCCAAATGTTGCCATTAATGAAGACAACAACATTACATTGAATTGGTATTGTCACAACTATCCTTTTATTGCCACGAAAGGAACTTACACAAAAGACTTCAGATACGTAGCGAATCGAATTGATAACATCACCGGTGGGAGCGATACGATCGTAGCAATCTCCCTCGGCGCTCATTTCACGCCCTTCCCTCTGCACGTGTTTCAAACGAGAATGCACAACATTAAAGCGGCAGTGGAGAAACTCCTGATTCGGAGCCCTGAAACGAAGGTCATCGTTAAATTATCCAACGTGAGAGAAAACAGCGGAGTGGCGATCTTTAATAACTGGAACACATTTAAGCTTAACCAAGTCCTCTTGGAAGTGTTTAAAACCATGAATGTGGCATTCGTTGATGCGTGGGATATGACTGCTGTACTGAACTCTGCTAAAATTCACCCGAATGAGCATATTGTAAAAAACCAAATTGATTCATTCTTATCTTTTGTTTGCTAGCGTTATTTTCACTCCATATGCAATGGCAGTTAACTGTGGGAACCAGAAAGTTACAGTACTTATTGCTTTACTTGGGAAATACTGTACTGTTTCATCCATCTGTTAATATAAAGTCATACTTTATGAAAGTATATATATTGAATGAAATTTCTAAAACCCCTGAAACAAATGCTATGAACCTGAATGATATCGCTGTTAGGCAGTTATATCTTTCATTGAAATGGTCATTGGGCCCAAGAATGCACTGCAAGGTGCATTGCGCATTGTTATCAAAAGAACAAACCTTTCCGCAATAGATTGTTCCGGCAACATTATCATTTAACTTTTAATATATATCCGTTTATTTACGAATACTTTTGATTATTGAAGGGTTTGTCCAGTGTTCAATATTTTACAAATTAACAACACTCCATGGTGTTAAGTGCAGACTCCAACCTTGATTAACTCTATCTGTCTGGCCTCTAAGTGCTTATAATGAAGGGTCATTTCCAGAAGGGTCACTCATGACAGTAAACAGCGTATATAAACCTTTTTTCATTTAAGGCCACTGTCATTGACGAATATGTTGCGTTTAGAAGGGTCACTTATGACAGTATACAGTGTATATAAACCTTTTTTTCATTTAAGGCCACTGTCATTGACGAATATGTTGCGTTTTTGTTAATTGTGCTTGTACAACACTGGATACGCAGCATCACCAAATAATACACTGCAGTATGTGCATTGTTTATCGACAAGAATGACAATGTATTTGCATGAACATGTAATTAGAACGAACATGTAATTTGAACTCGAGTGTGTGGCTGTTAGCAGACATCTTTGGCGTGTGTCTGTGTCGACGATTCCATGTGTCTGTGCTCCCAATTATTTGTACAAAAGCCCGTAGCAAAATGTAGGCTGCCTCTCCCTTACTGGGTTGGCTTGTAGGATTGTTTTAAATTGATATGAAAATATTCATGGGTCTTTCGGTAAAGTCACGTAGATAGTTTCAAAGAAAATAACAAAAAATAACAATTTGTGATCATTTATTTTTTTGTTCTTTTCTTTGAACCTATATACGTGACTTTACCGAAAGACCCAATAATATGAATTCCTGCAGTCACGAAAGCTTTAAGTCATGATATGAAAATGTAAAGTGCATGTTATCATTTTTTTAAGTTGCTGGTGTTGGTTTTACGCCACGTGTAATTTTTTGCTTATGACGCAGCGGAGCAGCTTACAGTGCGTGTGTGTGTGTTGGGCAATTTGCACATTAAAAGTGCACCTTGCCTAGCACAGGCGCCGGGGTCTTCGTCACCGCCACTTAGTAGCGAACTGCGGCTGTTGTTGGTGGTGGGCGGGGTGCGTGTGTGTGAAATAATCGCGTTCCACTCGTTTACTAGCGTGTAACGAGAGCCAATAAATCATCTATTGAACTAACTAATAACGCAGTAACGATTTTACGCAAACGTGCGCGGATAACCGCACTTAAACCGACACAGCCTTGCAAGGCAGTAAGCACGTTAACTCTGTCACTGGGCCAAACTTAGATACCAGCCCCGAACCAGCAAAAGCAATTTGTCTCGGTGTGCATGCAAAACATCGTGTGCTTCTTCTGCTGGAAGCTGTCGCAGCCGCAAGTCTGTCGCAAAGGAGCCTTCGACGTGACAGCTGTCACCCCGATGAGCGGTCAGGAGAGGACGCCCCATGGTCCCCTTTGCACGGCCTGGGTCCACCCAGCAAGCGGAGTCGGCGGCCCCCCGGAGTGGACACGAACAGAATCGCCCCCCCCCACCTCCTCCCCACGCACGGCTCGTGGCTCAGCCTCACGACCCCGTACAGTCCGCGAAGTACCCGAACGACCTATCACCTCCCCACACACGATCCGGCAGTGGCGATCAATGTCACGAAAACGTTATATTTGTAAGGTGCATTTTCATCCGGAGATCCCAATGCACCGTGTACGGAAAGCAGGGAATTATTAGAACGATAGTATTTCTTTTCCACATACAGCTGTCTACAAATATTATACGCGGCCTCAAATATTAATGAAACAATGAGCCAGAGACACTGAGGTGTCGGGCACAAACATTGTATCTTCAGAATCCTCAAGGTCGATACGTCTGGTAATTTATATCTTGGACTTTAACACTGAGCTGTAAAGATGAGGATGTTACCTCGTGTGACTGTGGACAGTTGGGTATTTTTGTTTGTTAGCAGATGAGTGCTGGTCACGTCAATCCGTTATCTGAAATGCGCATGTTACGTGAGTATTTCAGATAACGCGTTAAAGGCGCCGCCCTGCAATAGCCCGCCTGCGTCCTCTACTCGAGGGAGATCTAGAGGGCGTCTGTTCTATACTTCTCCACGATGTCCAGGCGTGTTGAAAGAAGCGGGCCGACCCACACTTTGCCTCAACCACACGAACGCTGCGCATCGACTATAGCTGTGGAATTATCATCATCGTCGTTGGTGTATACTGCTGGGCGGACAGAGGTCGCGGAGATTAATGCGCTTGTCCCATGGAGACTCAATCCAACCGAGACCTCTGGATTGAAGGTCGAGTGCGCTAACCATTTACAGACCGTTGGGGGCAAGTGCTATTAGGGGTCGTCCATAAATGACGTCACGCACCTGGGGCGGGGGGGGGGGTCAGACATTTGTGACGATGTGTGACGAAGGGGGGGGGGGGGTTTGAGAAATGTGACATCACGTCAAAATGCGCAACTTTAAACAAATATAGACAACACGTTCTACTTAATTAAATATACTTTTTAATAAATGTTTTCTCCTACAACATCAGAGTGCTGCGCCACATTTAATAAGCACTACAATGACAACAATAGTTTAAAGCGATTTGAAGCATGTTTTATTTGGAGGGTGTGGGGTCTGACCCCACACCCTCCACGTACTTTGTGACGTCATATTTGAAGGGGGGGTCTGACTTTTTGTGACGCCGTGTGACTAAGGGGGGGGGTCAAAAAAGTCCAACATCGCGTGACGTCATTTATGGACGGCCCCAATCAATAACAGATTCTCTTAAACCTAATTCTACTACTGATAAACCATCTTTGTCTTTGACAATAACCTTTGCACTTCACGCTTCGAATTTGACTTTAATCCTAAGTTTTATGTCTATCTATACCATCCACTTATATCGGTAACTTACACCCATTATCTGTACTCTATGTGTACATTATACGTACTGTATTTGTCACCATTGTACAACTTACATGTGTTCTATTCTCAGTAGCATTGCAAGTAGTCATACTCTGGGTGCATGGGCATGTTATATAATAAACAGTATTAGGGTTAGATCATTAAGAATTACAAGTATTAACTACACAGTGCTAAAACCGCTCCAATTGAATATATCACAAACTAACAATTCAAAGCCAAGCTTAAAGTCTAGAACAAGTCGAGAACAAGTCTAGAACATTTCTAGAACGATCAAAAACAACCTTTGGGTCCTTTACCTGTAAAATGCAACAGCACGTGGTGTCACACAGCAATTTTCAACTGTGTCGCCATTAACCACGTGACTGGTGTACACGTCCGGTTAATCAATAACCCTGCCAGCCCCCCACAGGCCCAACTCAGTCATCACATGCTGGTGGTCACCCGTGCATTGATGTACTGCACAGCACATAAGGACTTATTAAAAGAGTGGTCCATTCCTAATGTGCCACAGTACCACCCGAGGTGGCAAAGTCTAGCAATGATTTTTGTAATCCTCCATGTGTGTGGGACATATTCTGATATGATAACCTTTGCGGAGTGGCAGCTTAGTTGTAGTTACCATGATTATTATGTCCATACCCGATGATAGGCGTCCGGAACGATGAAATGGGCATTATTACTGAAAAACTACCTAGACCAAAGCCAGTTAGGTCACAAACTGGTCTTTATTGGTTTAAATACACAATGGAAACACAGGATAATTAGGAATACCATAGTGAGGTAAGGAACTAATTGAAAATGCTAAACATTGAAATTCGCATATACTTAGTCAATGATACATGTAATCCCATATATATCGTTAGTGATGGGTATATGTGAAGAAGGTTACATTATTGTTATAAAGCTCTGTGTGTACTTAGATGGTGTTAACAAGGGTAACCAAGTCCAGAATCACCACACTGTGCATCAATGTACACTACTACTACCACAGTAATACAATCAGAATCACCATCCTCTGTCACTCATCAAACTGCTCGTTTATCTCGTCATCTGTCTCCCCGAGTTCAAAGTCAGGTTCTGGATTTTCTTGCAGTTTTTGGTCACTGCAGGTCTGCAACCGGCACATGTCTGTGCATGTCAGTCCATTTGACAGGCACGTGCAGCTTGGCATTTTACATGAATGCACACACTTGCATGCTAGCAATTCCAAGACCACATCTGGTGCGGGTGGGGAGCGCATCCAGTAAATGGCCAGCTTGCCATCATCGTCTGTCCATCCATACTCAGTAGGGCTTGGCACCACAGGGTTAGCCTGCAGACAGCACTTCCATATTACTGCCTGATAGTTGGCTCGTTGAACATGCATGAAGAGAGACAGTCTCTACATGGTGGCAGCTGGCTGGACTCGACTTCTCTTTTGGTGCAGAGTTCGTTCACCTCATAAGTGCTGCTATTAGCAACATACATGCGACAGTTGAACTGCTCAATTTTTTAGAACAGCTCATCACACTCACATTCCATAACTGCCCCAGTCAACTAAAAGTCTCTTGGCAGGACATGTCATTTCTCACCATCTTTAGGGCATTCAGCTTCCCTCGACCGTCGATTGCACTGACAGTGTCGCAGCCTGTGAAGGCGTGTAAGCCAATTAGGCTGTCACAGATGCTGTCTCCAAGTGACCTTGCCAGTTTGCTGATATCAACAAAGCGTGTGCGGTTCTGTCCCACACTTCTGGTAGATGGGACAGGTGGTGTCCTTCTGGAAGCCAAAACAAAGCACCATGACATCGGTGTCCTCAGCTGTGATGATAACTGCCTTTGAGCCCACAATTGCTGCATGCAATGCATGCAGGAGCAGACGGGTGTCAGCTTCTTCATGCATGGAGTGCAGCTCTGCTACTTCCTCACACTCATCTTTTGTCAAGCTGTAGCAGGTTTCCTAACAGGTCATGTACAACACCTTGCCATGCAGCATCTCTCTGTATCGTGGGAGTTTGCACTCTTCCACCAGCAACTTGATGAGACTGGTCTTGTTGGAGGGACTGCACAGGAATTTTCTCCACTGCTGGATGTGGTGTCCCCCTGCAAGGTTCTTGTACTGGAGAGTGGTGTCTGCACCCCGTTTCAGTCGTTCAGCATCTGTGATCGAAGTCTGTCGGTAGACATCAAAGACAACATCAATCCTCTCACTCTGTGCCCCCTCGTGGAGGACCTGGGTCAAGGCTGACTCTGCCACCTGTGCAAAGGTTTTGTTGTTGCCATTCATTTTTTGGACTAGGCTCATCCCATCAATGATGGAAGTAGATGGGGTTGGAATGTCTTCTGCAGGAGACATTCTTTTCAAGCTCTCTGGCAAGTGCAGCCTTGTTTGTTTGTTTGTTTTTCGTAGCGACCCATCAGCATTCGCCAGTGCCCATGGCAGTGGGCCCAGTGGGTGGACAATGACATCCTTCATATTCATCTTCCTGCTTTCAGCAACCAGGATCATGTGGCTGAACAGGTTTCAATCTGCCTACAAAACTACATCCTGTGCTTTCTTTCCATGTGCTGTTTTGTGCTGATATTGGAGAATGTCTTCAGACTTTGCTTGGTCATCTTGTCGTGGAATTTCACAGATGGTGGGTCCTCAGCTAACCTTGTTTGCTTGAATACCTGGTAGGCCTCTTCTCCTATCTCAAGAGCTCTCAAAAGATCCCTGCTCACATCAGGTGAAGCCATGGTGGCAGTGGAGAGGCTAATTAGATCAGTCTCATCAGGTGACATAGGATTGATCCAGTTATTCTCCATAAGGTCAATTAGAGACTGAATATCTGCTTCATCTCTCTTGATCCTTGGACCCTGTAGATCTGGATGGGATAGTTTGGACCTGCCTTGACCTATCAGGTATCTCAGCTGCCTGAGGTACATGCTTCTGTGCTCAGCTGTTAGGTAATATTTGATCACGGCTCCTGGCTTCAAGCTGAATCCCTTTGTCCCTCCAGCTGTCTGGGTGTCTTTGTTCACCGTTTCTTCTATAGCTTGGTCAACAGGGATTCGGTCAAAGGGATTGGTGGAGCCCAGTTTAACGAAAAGCCTCCTTCCATGAATTCCGTGTATACATCTGAGTGTGTGATGGGCAGCTGAGACATCTGGGCGTAGTAGTACGGGAGGTAGGGTACATAATTAATCCTATCATAAGCGAAGCACCATGGGATAATTGCTCGAATGCTTGCCAAGTGTAGCATCCAGTCTTCCTCTCTGTATGCTCGGATGAGCCACAAC